AAAAAAAAAAAAAAAAAAAAGGGTGAGATATTGAATAAATACTAACAGATGATCGCAAATTTTAAATCAAATTAATTTTGTGTGAGGTTTTGTATGTAAGTTTCCCAAATTTTGTTCAGTAAACATATATTGTTTTGCAATTAGAAAAAAAGGCAATAAAAATGTAAAAACACCCCATTTTGTGTTAAGATGAAAAAGACTATAAAATAAGCCCTGCTGAGGTGGATATTTATTCAGTAGCAGGGCCCTTTTGGACAGCAGGAGTGGTTTGGTTAGTCCCTGCAGTTTACTTCCCCTGGCAATGAACTTCACATGTAGAGAGGACACAGTAACAACATCACAAGTAGAAATTCAACAAGTCTTAAAGAAAAAAACATCCCCTGTAACATCAGAAAATACGATGGTTTCAATTCCTTAAATAGGAAAAATTAGAGGCCAACTAGATTGGAAAACTTAAGCACAGAAAGGCTATAAAAAGTAAGGTCTTAAAAATAGGGTTAGGCCCCAGAGAGCCTTGGAGAGAGCTTGGGGGTGAGATCAGGGGCACGGGGCTACAGGGACTCTCAAACTAATTGTAAAGGTTGCCTGTCTTTGTCTCTCCAGTTCCCAATTGTTGACCTATAGAATGAAGGGGTTTGGTAGAACAGTGGTTCCAGACTTCTTTTTTCTTTGAGTGGGAGACTGGCTCGGTTTTTGGTTAGTATTTGACCTGGATTTCTGCCCAGTCCTATTCTGAGATTAGGAACCACTCAGGCACTGCAGCCCTGGGACACAGTGTAGCAAATGGGGACGGTGGAGCCCTTTGAGGGTGGTACAACACAGTGGCTCCAAGCCTGACTTGGTCATTAATCCTTGGGCCCCCCCCCCATAAAATGGTGACAATGGCGTTTCCTTATCAGGCTCCCCAGCTGATCGCAAGGCTCTAAAGCTAGGAAGGAAGGAAAGAAAGATGCCTGGGTCTCTACAGCCCTACGCCACTGTATTCGCATACTCTGACTTATTTCTTTTTCCCTAGAAATTTCTTTCATGAGGAAGAGGAGCAGAGGGAAGATGCTCTGTGATGCGGCCTGGCATGCAGATCAGTAACACTGCCATCACCTCTTCGTTCTCTTGGTTCTCTGTTCCCAACTAAGTTTCTGCCGCTGTGTGACTGACCACTCCAGGGGCCGCAGGGGGCCGTCAGGATGAGCTTTCCCTTCCTGCCAGGCTGCCTGTACCAGGTAAATATGCATCACTGCAAACACAGGTGCTGTGTGAGGAAAATGACTGGGATGTCTGCACAGAGAACCTCTAGTCCTGGAAGTGGGCAGACCAGGAGAGAGGTTACCCTGTGATTCACCCTGCCTCGAGTAGCTCAAGTGCCTCCCTCGAGTCCATGACTTTACGGGAACTCAGTGATGTGGTCTTCATTCTGCTGTTGGGGAAGGCTCACGAAGACAACACGAAATTGTTCTGAGCTAGACTGGTCTATCAGCTAGTGGCAATTATCCATCTACTCTCTTCACCCTTCCCAACCGTAAATATCCCAGTCAGTCATCCACCAACAGAGACGAAGAATACATAACATGACCACAGAGCTAGGGGAGGAAAGGGTTGGGGTGATGAGTACGCAGGACCAGCTGCAGTCAAGGCCCTTCTCGCTATCTGCTATCTCACTTGCAAGACTGAAATTCAGTTTGGTCAAGTAAGACTGGGAATATGATTTTCAGCAATGTGTTCATAGATATAAAGCCCCTCTGTAAGCAAACAGTGCTTGGAGGGCTATGGTTCATTTTTGAAGATAATTAGGTTTTCTGTGTGTTTTGTTTTTTTTGAGGTGGGGTCTCTCTCTGTCATCTAGGCTGGAATGCAGTGACACGCTCACAGCCACCGTAGCCTCCACCTGCTGGGCTCAGGCGATCCTTCTGCCTCAGCCTTGCAAGTAGCTGGAAATACAGGTGTGTGCTACTTCAGTCAGATCATTTTTTGATTTATTGTAGAGACAAGGTCTCGCCAAGTTGCCCAGGCTGGTCTCCAACCTCTGGGCTCAGACAATCCTTTCGCCTCAACCTCCCAAAGTGCTAGGATTGCAGGCTTGAGCCATCATGCCCGGCTGAGAATTAGTTTTAATGAGATTTTAAAATTTGCATTCCAATAGCATCGTGGTCAAAATCCAGAGACATATGGTATGTGAGAACCGTTTCTATTAACTGTGACGCCCTGTGCTTAAAGTAGTGGTTTTCCCTCCTGGGGAAGTAGAGTATATTCTCAGAACTGTTATGATGGGCTTTATTTCTGAAAACAACTCAATGAGTATTTACTGAATGCCTACTGTGTGCAAGTGCTGGAGATTCAGACATGGATAAGATAAAGTCCTGTTCCCAAGGAGTTTGCAGTTTGGGGGTATAACAGTCTGTTCTGGCTGCCACAACAAAATACCATACCCTGGGTGGCTTACACAACAGAAATCTGTTTTCTCACAGTTCTGGACGCCAGAAACCCAAGATTAAGGGGCCATCAGGATGGTCTGGTGAGGGCTCTCTTGCTGGTTTGCAGATAGCTGCCGTCTCCCTGTGTCCACACTTGGCCTTTCCTCTGTGTGCCCACGGAGAGAGATGTCTTATGTCTCTTCCTCTTATAGTGACAGGAGTTCTATGGACTTCTCCCTAGGGTTTCATTTAACCTTAATTACCTCCCCAAAGGCCCTGTTGCCAAATATAGTCTCGTTGAGAATTAGGGTTTCAACATACGAATTTTTGAAGCGGACACAATTCAGTCCATAATAGTGGAGAAGATACAGTTTCTTTTCTTTCTTTCTTTTTTTTTTTAGTTGGAGTTTCACTCTGTCACCCAGGTGGGAGTGCAGTGACATGCTCATGGCCACCGCAGCCTTGACCTACTGGGCTCAGGTGATCCTTCCATCTCAACCTTCCAAGTAGCTGGAACTGCAGGCACGCACCACTGCACCCGGCTAATTTTTTTATTTATTGTAGAGATGAGGTCTCACCAAGTTGCCCAGGCTGGTCTCCAACCCATAGGCTCAGGCAATCTTCTCACCTCAGTTTGCCAAAGTGCTGGGATTATAGGCATGAGCCACTGCGCCCAGCCTGAAGATATAATTTCAACTCTGCTCTAAGGGAGAATGTCATGGCTACAGAGACAATTAATGAATGACATCAGAGCGAGAGGAAGGAATATTAGAAAAGGAAGGGATGGTGGTATGAGAGGCTGGGAAGGATGAATTGGTACACAGAACAAGGATAACAGGGGATTCATCCCAAGAGTCCAGGCCAGAGATACAGGAATGGAAATGGAGCATGTGGCCTTAGACCATTCTGCTTTTGAAATTTGCAACCAGGCATATGCACAGTAATGGATAATGTAAACATTTCATGTGCATGTTTATCACACTTTGTTTTATGAAATTCTGCTTATTAAAAGATTTAGAAGGCCAAACGCAGTGGCTCAAGCCTGTAATCCCAGCACTTTGGGAGGCTGAGGTGAGAGGATTGCCTGAGCCCAGGGATTTGAGACCAGCAACTTGGAGAGACCTCATCTCTACAACAAATCAAAAAATTAGCTGGGTGTGGTGGCATGCACCTGTAGTCTCAGCTACTTGGAAGACTGAGGTGGAAGGATTGCCTGAACCCAGCAGGTCAAGGCTGTGGTGGCTGTGAACATGCCACTGCACTCCAGCCTGGATGACAGAGTGAGATTCCGACTCAAAAAAAAAAAATTTAAACCCTTGCAAATAGGGAATACACCAGTGTGCATACCTAGACCCTTGAGATGCATCATTCTCAGAGCACCACAAGCCAAGCTCATTGTTCACTCAATCTCACAACCGCCCTTCCTCCTGATCCTGATCTCTGTCACTAGCAGTTGATCTCCAAGGCCTCCTCACATGGAAATCTCCATCTGCTGACTCCTCCCTGTCCTTCTCCCCATAGTCGCTGAGGCCCAACCAGTCTTCTCTGAAATGTCTGTGGAATCTGTTCAGCCACCATCCCAGTTCTTTCTCCCCAGGGCTATTTCACCAGTCTCTGCTGTCTTCCTTGCTCTACCCCTTGCTCCTTCATTCAGCCTTTCGACCATCAACAGGGTGTGACCTTTCTAAAACAGTTCAAGGGTACGTCCCAGTCCACAGAAAATTTTCGTGGCATCCTAGTGCAAATGGTAGCAATTTTCAAATTGTGACCACGGCCCACCTGTATTGGAATCCCCTGGGCTATGAAAATTCAGATTCGAGGGCCTTATCCCAGACTTAATATGAAGAAAAGAACATGAAATATCTCATCCATTTTTAAACATAGCGATTGCATATTAAAATGGTATTTAGAATGCATTAGGCTAAATAAAATACATAATTAAAATGATTTTCAGTGGTTTCTCTTCGCTTTCTTTAATGTGACTGGCAAAAGAACTTCAAGTACACATGTTTTTCACATTATATTTCTGTTGGACAGTGCTTGTCCAGGTCTTTTTTATATTCCATGTTATTTTTGTTCTCTTTTCTCTTTCTCAAACACCACCACCAGCAGCAACAAACAAACAAATAAGCAAACAAACAAACAAACAAACACCATCTAGCTCTGAAGTGAATGCCACCACTGTATCACCCCCCTGTCCTCCTACTGTGGTTGCCTACCAACACCTGGGTCGCTCCCCAAATTCCTTGGTGATTTTAGTCACTGGCTTACAGCCATTTTTTCTAACGACATGCCCGTTCTCCAACACTATTTCTCAGCAGTTTCAATGTTCATGTGGCTATTTCTTCCAGCGCCTTGGCTCCATGTTCTGACCTCACCTCATGTGACCTTGTTCCCCACTGTCCCTCAGCCCTTCCTTCCCACGGTCAGTCATGCTCTGCACCAATCAATACCAGTAGCCCCAAAGTACACCACCCCCAACCTTGGTTTCAAGCACCCCATTCTCCAGCTCCCACCTCCCATTTCTCCTTCACTGCCTTTAGGACCGGGACTTCATCAATTCCCTGACAACCTCGGAATCTCCTATATGGTGCTCCTGTCTCCTGTTCACTCTGTCTCCTCCCTCATGCCCTCACTCTTCTCCTAACTACTGGGTTTCACGGTCCATCACCACAGCCATTCTCTTCCATGCACTTGGCTTCCTTTTGGTCCCAGTCTCCATTGTACTTGCCTGGTAAAACTCAACCTGCTTAAATCCAGCTCTCCTTTTTCTCCACTTTGACACCAGGGCGGCTGACAGGGCACATGTGATAATGAACTGGACCTCTTTCCACTCCTGAGTGCCAGCCTAGGCAGGCTCTGGGCTTCTTCCTGCTCTTTGGGTATCTTCCCTAGTTCCTTCTGTTACTTGATTGTCTTACTTCCTGCCCCCTCTCCTTAAACCCTCAATGTTTCTCACTGTTTTTTTTTT